TTGTCGGGTCTGAATTGTGATTACATTCTTGTAGAATGTAACATTATCTCCTTCGATACGTACTCCTCCATACATTGCTCGAATGAAATTGCACCCGATAATCATCTGAATCCTTTCCCCAAGTTGGAATGGGAAACTGTATGTATAAGGGATTCTGAACCAATTGTCCCCTATATACATTTTTCCACCCTTCAATTTCTTGTTTGCCTTTGACTTTGAATTTATACCATTGAACTCAACAGTATACGAATTGTGCTCTAAGGCTTCTTCTGGGATGGCTTTTGAGTCTACAACGCAAGTTGTTGCTCCTGTATCAAGGATTGCGTGTAGCTGAACCCTTGGTGTTCCTGGAATTTCAAGTTCCACAGTAATGTTGTAGAGCATGTTCTTCTTTTTCTCCTTTACTTCTCCTTCTGCTCCTGCTACAACTTCTTCAATAACAAGAACCTTTTCTGGTGGAGCTTCTTCGATTCGAACATGAGCTTCAGATTCTTCAGCTTCCTTTTCAAGCTCCAGAAGTTCTTCCTCTTTGTACTTTCCTTTTCTTCTGAGCTCTCGTTCATCATCCTGAAGCTGAATAATTAACTTGAGCTCCTCAAGTTCTGTTTTGTATTGAATAGCTTCCTCCCGAAGCCTCTTCATCTCAGCTTCACACCATCTGATGTATTCTTGTTGCTCTTGTAGCAACGGCTTTTGGTTGTAAGGAATTGGAGCCTTCCGAGTGATGAACGTTGTGAGGTTGAAGTAATGCTTGGCACAAAGTGCACATGTCAAGGCATTACACTTGTTGCAAAAGGCCTTCGAGTATGAGGATAAATCTCTCTTGCATGTAGTGCATTCTGGCCTCCTATCTTCTGGTAATGGGTTTTGCTGATCCCATTCATGTTGACAGTGGTAGATTTCTGGGGAGACTTTGATCTGAGCCCTGTATCCTCCTTCCTTGCCAAGCCAATAACAGTTATCAGCTTCTCTAAGCATGTAGATTGTTTCTGTCAGGCTTTCTCCAATTCGTTCAGTATCATCAACTCCTTCTGATACTGAGTAGATTGCATCTGAGTCGTCATCTCCTGGTTCCACAGACATAACATCATAATTGTCAGGGATACTCAGATTTTCAAACACAGCTACCCTTTTGACATTCTTCTGTTCCTTCGTGCAATCCCTTGCATAATGTCCTTCTTCTCCACATAAGTAACATTTGCAATGTTTTGACTTTTGCAAATATTTTCTCTTGTCAATTCGGACATGAGAACTATGTGGTTTTCCTTTGTAAGTGGTAGCCTTACGAACACCATACTTCTTCTCTGGTTCCTTATAATATCCCGGGATGGGAATTTCTCTGCAAAAATCCAGATTGCGAAGTGATTTCTGAAACGCTGCATTTTTGCACTCAGCTTCCAGATATTTGTATGCATAAAGAATTCGAGGAACGACGCCGATTGTATTTGCTCCATGTCGTTCAGCAAATCCTTTCTTTATCCTTTCACCAAGGTCTCCGGGCATCTTTGACCAGAGCTTAGATGATAGTTCTTCTCCAATGAATAGTCTTCCAGATTTTGTAGCAAGATGAAGGTAATCATTTAGGAACTTAATGATATCCTTAACATCTCTGCATGAAAGTCGTTCAAGATCCCGATAAGCTTCTTCTTGCATCAGGGTTGAACCTTGATAAGGGTCTTCAAGAGTAAACACAGTCCTCATCTGGGAGATGATGTTCTGTGTACCTTCATTCCCATCGCCTATGGCAACAAGATTAGCATATTCATCTGCATATCTCATTCGCCATTGCGTCCAGATTAACTTCTCCGTTTCTCCAAGGAGATTCTCCATAAACAGGAGTTTATCTCTAACATCTGTAAATCCTTGAGAAGCAACATAAGACCTTGTAATTGATTCCTATCTCATGAAAGCATCGTCAAACTTTCCAAGAGATTGTGGAATAACAAACATGGCTCCTGTGTGGTGCATTGCAGATGGTAAATTCCACATTTCATTATTAACTCCACGTCTGAAATTTGATCGAATTCCTGTATAAGAAGGTCTGTCAGGAATATTGATCGAAGGACCATGTCCTGTTGCTGGTGGATATCCTGGAGGACCCATCATTGAATCCTGAGGAGGATTATAATGAGAGGTTACTGCTGATGATGATAAAAGATAATGAGGCTGCCGTTGTTGCCGCTTTTCAATCAAAGCTTTCAACTTTGCGATCTGCGGGTATTCGGTTTCTGCTTCTTCCTCTATTTCCTCCATCATAGCGATTATGTTAAGAGTAGAGTCAGATTCTTCTTCTTCATGTTGATAACCCAAAGGATCATGATACTCCAAAGAATCATCTGAGTCTTCCAAAAGAGCCTTCCCTGTACTTCCGAATCCTTGAGTACCCCTCCAGTTACGAACATCATGTTGGTCATCGTTCCGGATGTCACAAAGATTACGAGCATCTTTCTCCACCATCCTTGGCAAAGAAACCTTCTCAAAGATTATTTGGGCAATTCTATCTCCGGCACGAACTATAAATTCCTCCTGATTATGGTTAAAAAGGAGTACTTTAACTTCTCCTCTGTAATCAGGATCAATTACTCCTGCGCCAACATCTATTCCATGAATTAGAGCAAGCCCTGATCTTGGGGCAATTCGTCCATAAAGACCACAAGGTATTTCCATGGCTATACCAGTGGAAATCAACGTTCTTCCGTAGGCTGGAACAACATGCATGGATATTGATGTTAAATCATAGCCAACGGCTCCATCAGTTGCTCGAGTTGGTCTAGTCGCTTGAGGTTGCATTTTGATGAAATGGACTGCATCAAATCCTTCATACTCACTCATAGGATAGCAAGTTCGACAAAGTTGTTTCTTCTTCTTGTCCTTCTGCTTCTGTCGTCTAGGCTGTTGTTGTAAAGAAGGATAGGAAGATTCAGCATCCGAGTCGGATTCTTGCATAGACTTAGGCAGCATTCTTTGTCGATGTTGTTGATGTGGTGGATGCAGTAGTTCAATTTCCGGCGGCGGCTGCGGCCTTGATCGCCACTTTCTTCTGTCTGATTGTAATGATTGTGTTGAATTTGAAATTGGTCTCCTTTCACCACCTTCCGTTCGTTGTTGATACTCTGAATAGCGGGCACTGGCTTGTTCCAGAGTTTCTTTGAAAACATTTGGTTGTTCTTCAAAGAATAACAACGTTTCTTGTCGATTGCGGGATTCATTCTGAATGGATCTAGTGTCATCGTCAGATTGCATAGTTTCATTATCATTGTGATCATAATGAACCGGATCCGCTTGTTGAGCAGCGACATAATCTCCGAATCGTAAGCTGTGTCAGTGGAGAGAATCAGCAGGACACCAATAATGCGTCGATGAGGCTAATAGTGTACTCGGCATTATTGCATGCATCCTTGATATTTTCTCTATAAATAGGCGTCTAAGCTTAGTGTTTCAAGCATCAAGACAAGTTCCAAAAACTACACTTGACACTTGAAAATCGAGTCTTGTTTTGAGTCTTGTACTCCAGAAGTTTGAAGAAGTTTCCGCTGTAATAAAATCGAGTCTTGTTTTGAGTCTTGTACTCCAGAAGTTTGAAGAAGTTTCCGCTGTAATAAAATTTCTGTAAGTTTCTATCTAGTTCTTTGCTTACTAGTAGATCCTGTATTTGGTATCAGAGCTAGTTAATATGGTTATTGTAGCGTAAACACTTATCAGGGTAGTGAAGGCCTCTGTTGTTAATGATAATTTATGCTTTATTTGATGTTTAAACTATATATTTGATTAGCATCCTACCAGGGCAAAGGTAACCGTATATTAACCAAGGCAAAGGCTATTGAAGTTTTCAAAGTTATAAAAAGGTATAGCATGATTTCTGCAAGATCCAACAACTCAAGTTGGAAGCCGTCGCCAGAAACGCATGCAGTGACAACCACTATGCCGACATCTTACCAGAGGTGCACCAGCAGACCTGTGAACTGAATGAAATTGACAGCGAATTATTCGATGTCGTCATGATGATGATTTGCTGAACGACATGGAGCAAATACAATCGGCGTCGTTCCTCGAATTCTTTATGCATACAAATATCTGGAAGCTGAGTGCAAAAATGCAGCGTTTCAGAAATCACTTCGCAATCTGGATTTCTGCAGAGAAATTCCCATCCCGGGATATTATAAGGAACCAGAGAAGAAGTATGGTGTTCGTAAGGCTACCACTTACAAAGGAAAACCACATAGTTCTCATGTCCGAATTGACAAGAGAAAATATTTGCAAAAGTCAAAACATTGCAAATGTTACTTATGTGGAGAAGAAGGACATTATGCAAGGGATTGCACGAAGGAAGATTTACTGATTGTCGGGTCTGAATTGTGATTACATTCTTGTAGAATGTAACATTATCTCCTTCGATACGTACTCCTCCATACATTGCTCGAATGAAATTGCACCCGATAATCATCTGAATCCTTCCCCCAAGTTGGATTGATCCTTGTGTGTATTGTCATTCAGCCTTTTATAATTACACACCATTCTTTCTTTGCCACGCTTCTCTTCTTTCGTGACTGGATCAATATACGTACCAGAATTTACAATGAATGCTGTGGTACGATGTCGACTTTTACTTGGCCGGATTACCTTCAGTTGTAGAAGCTGATCAATATGCTTCTTGAAACTCTCCTTCATGGCTGGAGTTATATGTTTCATTGGCCTGTCGTTGATTATGAAATCTGGATTCTTCAGGTCCAATTTGCAGGTAATCTGATTGTGAGACCAGTACTTCATAGGATCTTCATCCAGATAGCTCAAACTTCTCCTCTGTAATCAGGATCAATTACTCCTGCGCCAACATCTATTCCATGAATTAGAGCAAGCCCTGATCTTGGGGCAATTCGTCCATAAAGACCACAAGGTATTTCCATGGCTATACTAGTGGAAATCTTGTACTCCAGAAGTTTGAAGAAGTTTCCGCTGTAATAAAATTTCTTTTGAGTGAAATACTGATATATGCATAAACTGATTTATCACATATAAGCACGTGCTCAACGATTATGGAAATCTGTTTGTCCTATTTCCATCTGTGAATTTTGCAGCTGGGCCTGACTGTTATTTCATTCAATCTATTATGGCACTTGCAGGCAAGAAAAGAAAGCGAAGCCCTTGCTGCTGAAGGTGGATGGACTGTTGTGGTACATCACAAGGGTCGGAAAAAGACAACAGATACTGAAAGTGGAATTACTGTGGGTTCTGTTGCCCATGCTGCTGTTCTGGAAAATATGGCCAAGAAGAAAAGTAAAGATGTTGGATTAGATTTCTACCGGTTCCAGAAAAGAGAGGCCCAGAGGAATGGTATGTTGATTCTCACAAACAAAATTCTATTCCCTGTTCCTTTTCTGGGAATAATTGTTAGTGCATACGTTGATAATACATTTAAATGGATAATTTAAAAAAAAAAATTTAGTTTATTATATTGATATAGTTTAACCGTGCTCTCTAACGTCTGCCTTTCACCTTAAATTTGGCCCTAAGCGTGATACATCAGCCTGCATAACTTGATATGCTACATTCTGTTTCATTCCTCTTATTTCTGTTGACACTTCAAGTACATTTGAGTTCTGGACCTAATTCATATACATCATTCAATTAAAGTAATGGATTTGCCTAATGGAGGCCTGCAAAAGTAACGCATTGTGAAGCCGTAAACTTACATTCTGGCATGTCCTTGCTGTAATCTGATTCTATCTTTTTCAATAGAAAATTGCTAAACATTGAAGTACCTTTTTACTTATTTATTTGTCACTCTGAAACTATCATTGTCAAGTTATTATTGGTGAGTATATAACCCAAGACAAATGCACTGTTATATATCTTTCTTTATTGTTCTTTCCAGCTTTTAATGTATCTTCTTGGCACTTGATTTGCAGAGATTATGACTCTTCAAAGCAAATTCGAGCAGGATAAAAAGCGGATACAGCAATTGAGGGCTAAAAGAAAGTTCCGGCCCTACTGAATGCTGCCGACAATCTACAAAGAAAGATCAATGGCCAAAGCATCTCACCTGTTCTTTCGATTATTAGAATTTTATGTTTGAGGATGGTTCATTACCTTAACAATTAAAAACCTTGCTTTCTTTCCCTTCCTTTTTTTGCTTGTAGGAGTGATGAGAAAAACCAATTGCACAATGATTTAATGTGATACATGTACCGTTTTGAGATCAATTACAAAGATGCTTAAGTTTTTGAATTATTTATACCCGCTCGGTGGTACGACAGTGCTCAGTGATTTACAATGAAGCTACCAAATGCGACAAGTTAGACAGGGATTTGTGGTAGTGATATACAATGATTACGCATGTGGATTCATGAAGCATGATTAATCTGTATTTTTGAACTGAACAGTCCAGCCCATAAAGTGCTTTCTTTTTAATGGATGAGAGCCATAGTGCTGCTGCATTTTGAAATCACTGCGTTGCATTTGGGCAGTATATAGCAGAAATGCGTACCCAAAAAGGGCTACAGTTTTAATGGCTATTAAAAGCAGTGGTGTGTAGCAACCTGCATTCATGTTTCAACTATCTTCCTGTTATATTCATGTTTCTTTCTTCTGGTTGGAAGTAGAACTCTCATTCTCATACAGCCTCTCCAATTCTTCACCAAGTTTTTCATGAGATTCAATTCATTCGTCAAACTTGTACCTGTTTCTCGGAAAAAAAAGAAGGGGGACAAATTTCACTTTATCCTCTTGTGATTTAGGCCAGGTACAAATTACTCCTCTCATATTCAGAAATTATTACATAACTCCCATGTAGTTTGTGGATTAAAACGCAGTTAGCTTTTCCGTTCAAGATAACACATTGCGAGAGTCACGCGCTTACAAGGAGAGCAACACTATTTTTAAGACCAAAATGCCTCTGACACATCTTCAAATTTATAAAGAATGACATTCAATTATTTCTCTCTCCTACTCCTTTAATCCCAGCCATAAGTAGCCCTTCATTTTTTTTTCTTCTCCCCGTTTTCTCCTTTTCTTTTCTTTTTTCCAGCTCATTAACGTCCACTACTTGTAGCTTCCCCCATGATCAAACAAAAACAAAAATTTTATGTGAAAGCCACAAAATACCGGTAGCTCCATGGATTCCAGCAAAAATTTTAAACACCGTGGCTTGTTCTTTTGTAGCTTACTGCATATCCAATCCCTTTCATTCATCTTCCTTCAGTAAAATCCATCCAGTGTCTCCTTTGCTTTCATATCCTTACCCTGCTTCATTGATAACCATTTTACCTCTTCTCTAATACTACATGGATGATTGCTAATGCCATAGTCAAAACCATTGAGGTTGCAGATGAGAGGCAATTAGAAATGTTACAAGAAAATTTGGGGTCATTTAGCCTTAAAATTTTGGGATTTCGTGAAAGAAGTATTGTGGTAATCTTAGCTATAGATTTTAGGAATATATATAGATATATATATATACAGATTATATATATGCATATATATAGCTACAGCTTATATATACATATATATACAGATTATATATATATGCAATTTGCAGGTTTATATATATATATGTATATGTTAGAGTTGGTAGCATGGAAGCCAGAAGAAAGAAAATAGGAATGTGTATATATATTTGCAGGTTTAATTTAAAAGAGATAAGAGGAAGAAGATGGGGAAATAAAGGTAAATTTATACGTTTTGTTAACATAAGCTAACTGTTCATTTTAGTCCACAAACTACATAGGGGTTATGTGGTAATTTCCAAATGTCATGAGGTAATCTACACCTAGCCCAAATCACTGGGTAAAGTGAAATTTGCCCCCCCAAAAAAATCAAACTTATATCAAATCAAGTTTTCATCAAATGATTTTTTTTATGCATTTAAATGTTAGAAAAATAAAAGATTAGAGGTCAAATTATTTTCATCAGAATTTTGGGATATGTTATTTTCAAAAAGAAATTAACACAAATTTTAATTCTCACCATTAGAATGAATTATATATTTTGGTAAAAAATAAAAATAAAAATAAAAATTGAAAGGCTGAAGATGCTCTGACTTATGTTTAAAGGCATTGTCATTGTCATGAACTAGTGGACCCTTCCTAATAATAGAAGGGAAAATATCACATCAGTGGGTGTTGCAAAAGTAATTACAAATTAATGAAAATTTTTATAAATATTAATAATTAAATTTATAGAAAAAATTATGAATTTATATATATATTTTTTCTGACATTGTAATAACCCCATAATATGTTGGCAAATCATTGTTATGACTTGATTATGTAGGTTGCTAACTGCCGTGATTTAATTTCAAATGTTACTTATAATGAGATCATTATGACTATTGACAATGCTGTTTTGATCACCAATGTGGAATAAAGAGCGCTTCCAAAAAATATACTAGTAACAACATAAAATACAAGACTTGATTAAAAAAATATTATATATCTTGCATTAAAGAAAACAAATTAATAGTTTGGAAACTACGAATTACAGGTATAGGACCGCACCAGATAATAAAAAGTTCTAATTGCTTGGCTAACGTCATAATAGGTTACGCTAGATAAGACTTGTTCAGCTCTGGTATAGTGGTCCGGCATGTATCCTCCAAAAATTGTCCGGGAAAGCATAAATGGCCCGGACGCGTGTCCACATACTGAAGTTGTTTGGTGTATTCTTTGAAGAGTTGTTCAGCCGGCCTAAACTCATCCATTTGCATTTCTTGGAAGGTTTCCCCCATTTTCTCATCCATTCTGGCTTTCTAGCTATTTCTTTTGAAAAGAGAATCAATGGTTTTTTGGAAAACAAACTACTAAGAACAGCCAAAATAAATAACAAAGTGCCAATTGCTTTAAAAATATTTTGAAAATAGGTTTAAGAGTCCAGAAAATCTTTTGGCCAAAACCGATGCATAGAAGGTTTGTCAATCTTTTCATTCCTGACTTATTACTTAGAATGATCTCTGATTTCTTTATCAAAAACTTTTTAAAAAATGTACAAATCTTAAGGTCTGTCAAAAATAAAATGTCTACACTTTATTATTTGGAATTATTGATTTTTGTCTTATTATTTGAAGTTGTTGACTTTTGGTTGCAAAGGTTGAATGAAAGAGTAATAAATAAAATTAAAAGAAATGCCAACAAATTTCTCATAAAAAGGCTTGTCAGTCCTCATGTTCGTCCTAACCACTCACTTGTCCCTCATGATTTATTAATTTGAGATCTCATTCTTTTCTCTTCTTCTTTTGCTTTTTCTTTTTATTGTCTTTTCGTTTTTAAGGAAGAAGTTCATTGTTAAAAATTTTGAGTCATTATATCCAACTTCCAAGTTTAAATCTTTTGAAGTTAAAAAGATATTATCTATCGAAAAGAATTTATCTTTGTTCGAAAGGGATACTAATCTGTTCAAAATTTATTTATTTATCTATTCAAATGTTACTTATTTGTTTAATTATATATTCAAATCTTACATATCTATACACGTGTCATTTATCTGTTTAATGTTACCTATTTGTCCATCTCACCGCCACTAACCACTATTGATCGCCAACAACTTTTCTGATGTCGGCAACTTTTTTGGTGACTTTTCAATAAATCTCCCTAATATAAAAAAGATCAAACTTTGGATCAAATAGCATATGACCTCATAGGATTTTCATCAATTAACTCTTTTTCTAATGGGTGATTTATAAAGCAAATATTAGGTATAATAGTGAGATTATACAATGGTTTTACCCATCAATAAAAATCTTACATTGCAGTATGAAAAACTACATGGTAAAATTTTGTTAGAAACAAAAATATTCCACTGATCCTCATTTGCAGTGGCACAATTTTACTGTTGTACTTAATATTTATTTGTATTATTGGTAGAAGAGTTAGATTTAATGATCTTTTTAGGTTGGCTTGTGTTTTTTGAAGACGATATTTCTTTTTAGATGGGAGCTCCTCTAGGTTGGTTATAATGTAAGTATATATTTTATGAAAATCAAATCTGGTAACGAATGGTTGTACCACCACTTGCATATGGATTTTTCTTTCGCACAAATATATATATAGAATAATATAATTATTGGATATTATACTTGAAAATCATCTTTAATACCCAAAAATCAATTTAACTGTTAGATTTGAACTTTAAAAAACAAAAGAGTCAAATGATAAGTATTAAAATTGGTTAAAAAAACAAAGTGATTTTTTTAAAAAAATGAAGTAATTTCTTTTTATTTACCACTGAAACTGGCTTTATTTATCACAGAAATTAACCCTAGTTAGTTACCACTTAAACATATTGTTTACCATCCAATGTGACCGTGTACGTACTAATGGTGTTGTCCCTACTTATCACATAATGTGACAAGAATTGTGTCACATAAATAAATAAATAAATTTAATATAAAAATGAAGTGATAAATTTTGATTTTGTTATTTTATAATAAACAAATCGTCACGTTGCCTCATATTTTTAACAATGCTACTATGACCTTATCCTTGTTATACATAAACGTTTCATTTTTTATTTTATTTTTTTAAACTTGCTTTGGTCATGGGGATAGGTGGACTAGAAGGGAAACAGATGCAAAACTTGTGAAACAGGATTTTTTTTTTTTTTTTTTTTTTTTTCTTGATAGGGATAAAACAGTTGGTCATGTAAAATTATAGGATACATTTATCAACTAAGTAAAAGTAATCTTATTTATAATAGCAAGTATCTCGTGAACCATTTGTGAGATATCTACTGAGAAGTCAATTGTTGTCTAAATTATAAATAAGATTACACAATCGTCACTATTTTCTTATTTCTCTTGCAAACAATTATATGATGATGGCAAGGAGCTTCATACCCTTGAATTTTGTATGGGAGCATTGATATATCTCTCTAATTTTGAAATTTTAATTGAGCTCTAATAATATGACAATGATAGATTCATCTAATTTTATAATTTTAATTAAGTTTTAATGATGTGACAGTGAATTAAAAAAAATAAAAAACAAAAAATACAAAGTCAAAACATCACATCACAGTAAGATTCACTCCTATTAGAGCTCCTTTATTAAAGTTATCAATTATTTTTGTTTTGTATTGTTCCTAGTTTTTAATATAGTTCCTTTCTAAAATAAATAAATAATAAATTAAAAAACATCTATCATTTGTGATAGGGCTGGGCATAGAGTCATCCGACCGGTCCAAACCATCCTACCCGAATCGAACCGCACGTATGCGGGCGATTTCACAAATACATTAAAATAAGGTACGATTTGAATTTTATATAAATTTCAGGTTGAGGACGGATTGCGGGCTTGAACCGCACCCGCCCAATCCGCCCGCGTTAAATATATATATATATATATATATATTTTCCCTCTTGTAAATCTAAAAAATTACTCAAAAAGTTAAAAAGTTAACACTATTCATCAAAAGTTAACAATTACGGCTGCACAACTCCCAATTCAAATTTTTCTCTACAAATTAATTTTTACAATTTTTTATTACACATTTTTCAATAAAAAGTCAAAAAGTTAACCCAAATATCCATATTTTCAACCTCAATTTTTTAGTCCAAAAAGACAAAAAGTGCACTTTTTTATCTTCCCAAACTTGGCCTAAGGCCAAGTTTGGGAAGACTAAATAAGTGCATTTTTTGACTTTTTATGAAATATAAGTTGGATTTGAGTTGGGTTTGAAGTGATGTATTAAAGAGGTGATGTGACTTAAATAAGATGATGTGACTTAAATAGGATAGTGACTTTTTGACTTTTTAGATTTTTTTGAAGGATGCTAAACTTGGCCTAACAAACAAAACAAAGGCTTTTGGGAAGATGGTAAAAAATGGCTTTTTAGCTTTTAACCAAGCTTTTGATTTTTTTAGACAAATGATTTGGGAAGTTGGTAAAAAGTGACTTTTCACTTTTTTGATTAATATTTGTTTATGATATCAAATCATAATAAAATGACTAAACTACCCCATTTATTTAAAATATTTATAACTTCACATATGTAACACATTTTGACCCATGAGAAGTAAAATTGTAATTTCATCGTTGGCTAAAAACCAACTTCTCCAATGAAAAAAAAGCCAAAAAAACCAATTTTTAACTTTTGCTACTAAAAAAAAAAATAAAAAAAAAAAAAAAAAAAAAAATAATGTCCAAAAAAAAACAAAAAAAAAAAAAAAAAAAGGGCACATGGTCCTTGTTTGTTGTTTGAATTCTGGGTTTGTTTGTGTTCTGATTGGTTTTGTTTTGATTTGTAGGGTTGATTGATTGATTTATTAACGGCTCAAAGGTTGCGATATTTATAACCATAATTTCTGTAAGTTTAATTGTTTCTACAATCTTTATGTTGTTCTTGTTCTTGTTTATTTTCACCGATCATCATCGCACAGCCGATCTGCTTCACAGGTGAACTCTCTCTCTCAATCTCTGTCTCTCTCTCTCCCGATCGTTCATTTTTTGTGGATGAACAACAGAACTGATTTTTTTCATCTCCGATCTACTTCACAGGTGATCTCTGATTTTTTTCATCATCGCACAGCCGATTTTTTTCATCGCACAGCCGATCACTCTCTTTCTCATCTCATCGCGCCGATCATCATCGCACAGCCGATCTGCTTCACAGGTGAACTCTCTCTCTCAATCTCTGTCTCTCTCTCTCCCGATCTGCTTCACAGCCGATCTGATTTTTGTAGGACCAAAACAGATCTGATTTTTGTGGACCAAAACAGATCTGGTAGTTAGAGAGATCTGAGCCAACAGATCAGATGAGAGTTGTAGGGTTATAAACTGAAGCCTTATGTGATCCAATCAAATTGGAGAACAGTGAACTTCAACATTGCACTTTGTGCTCAGATATTCATGTAAATGTTCATATATATGTGATTAAAGTTGGGACCATAGAAAACGAAGACAAAGCCTTGTTTTGTTCTCTTCAATTATTATTCATTCTGCTTGAGAGAAATCCATCCCAGTATTACCTGCCTCAGCCTTGGGATCTGATTTTTTGAATCTGTCTGTTTGACTCTGTTTGTTTGGATCTGTTGGTTTTATTTAATTTTTGGAATTCAGATTATTTAATCTGTCTGTGTCTTCTTAGTTGAATCTGTTTGTTTTATTTAATCAATCAGTAGAATCTATTTATTTAATAGAGGATAGTATTTTTGTAATCCTCTCTTAGTCTGTCTGTAAAATTGATTATAGAATCTGAGTGGAGGATAGTATTTCTGTAAAATTGATTATAGAATCTGTTTGTATTTTTGTAATCCTCTCTTAATGGATGTCTAATATCCATTTGCTCATTGGTAATTTTTTCATATACTCAACACAAATTTGTTTATATTTTTTGATGCTGTCTATAATTGAAGATTAAAGTTTATATTTTTTCAATTTGTTTGTGTAGGGTTAATCAACCAAATGCATGGAATTAGAATTGGAATATGTGAAAGTTGAATTGGATGTGATTCATGAAGATGAAGTTTGATATCTTAGAAGTGTTTTAATTTTATTTCATGGGTTTGTATTGAATGAAGTTTAAGTTTGACAATAAATTTTTTTTTTTAATTGCGTTTTGGTTTTGGATGAATGTAACCTAATGAATTTTTATTTTTTTTTGCATTTTGGATGAATTTAAGTTAATGAAGAATTACTCTTCTTGTTTTTTTTTTTTTTTGGGGTTAGGAATGATGAATGTTGAATTTTTAATGTAGGATTTTCTTATTTGGATTATGAATGATGAATGTAGGATAGGATGCATGTAAGTTAATGATAGAATATAGATTTTGAATGATTTGTTTAGGTTACGAATTGAATTTGTTGTGTTTTTTATTTTATAAGTTTTTTTATAAGTTTTAGTTCATTAATTATTAATGTTGGAGCGTTTTAGAAAATATGAGAAAAAATGTTCAAAATAAAGATTGACAAAATAGGAGAAAAAAAAGGTTTAAAAATAATTTTTTGGAAAAGAAAGCTCAATCCGCAAACCGCCCGCAACTGCCCGCACACCCGCGAACCCTATCCGCACAAACTGCAAACCGCATTGCGGGCGGTTGCGGGTTGATTTTTTCCCAAACCGCATAGATGCGGGCGGGTCCAAACCGAACCGCAAACCGTCATAAACCGAACCGCGGACACCCCTAATGGAAGGCGTTGGGCTCTGCTTTCCCTATATAGAGTCCTTATCAATGACATTCTACACCCATTACTTCTCCATCCCTTTAAAGCCTCCTCCTCTTCACTTTCCTTCAAATCGCACCAGAAATCTCTTTTGCGATTCCTTTCTCTCTCTCTCTCTCTCTTCCTCTCCAATCTCTCTGTTGCCCTCTCCAGGGTTCGCTTGGATTAGGCAAAGAAGAAATTAGGGTTTGTTCCTTTTGTCGCGATTTGCAATATATTCTTGCATGTTTATGGGCACACGGTTCTTGTTTGTTGTTTGAATTCTGGGTTTGTTTGTGTTCTGATTGGTTTTGTTTTGATTTGTAGGGTTGATTGATTGATTTATTAACGGCTCAAAGGTTGCGATATTTATAACCATAATTTCTGTAAGTTTAATTGTTTCTACAATCTTTATGTTGTTCTTGTTCTTGTTTATTTTGAAGATATATGTTTCAAGTATATGATTGTATATGTTTGATATTGTGTGTGTTTCTTTCATGAAGATATATAACCGTCTCTGTTGAGATCCATAGATTCTCTGTTGTTATTCGATTTATTTGTTTTTTACATATATATATGTGTGTGTGTGTGTGTGTGTGTGTAGCAATGGCTCTGTTGTTATGTAGATATGTATTTCACAATGGAGCTTGCTTCAATTAATATTGAAAGATTTGTTTGTTTTTTGTTTGTTTATGGGGGAGACTTGTTTTAGGTTGGGTGAAACTTTTGTTTATGCCAAACAAATGAGTGAATTTAATTTTGAGGTGGGGAGTTTGGATTTGGATCTTGGCTGGTAATACGCTATAGAGGCTTTTCACTGGTTTAAAGGCAACGGATGTTTAGGTGTTCTTGAAAAAAAAGGTTCAATTTTTTTTTTCCTTCCAAATTGCCTTCAGATGAATTGAATATATGGTTGTCAAATAATCTATGTTTCAGGACGTAAAAATGAGTGTTTGTGCATATTCTACTTTTTTGTTTAATTAGTTGTGACCTCAAATGGTATGTGATAAAAGATCAGTCGATAAAATCTCTTACTTGTTATTGCAGAAGAATATTTAGGGTTGGTTTGGGATGTTCTAAAAAAGTGCACTTTTTGACTTATTGGTTTACCTGGGTTGGGTTTGGGTTTGATGTGATGTGTTAGAGAGGTGATGTGATTTAAATAAGATGATGTGACTTAAATAAGATAGTGATTTTTTGACTTTTTGTATTATTTAGTTTATGCCAAACCAACCCTTAATCAGTGTTGTTATTGTTTCTTTTTACACATTCCATTTAGATAATGCAATTTTTTGAATATGTTCTTTTGACTGATCTCTTTTTGTATTTGGTCTTTTTTGATCTTTTGATGGAATCGTTAATGTGTTTATGTTATCGATAAGTCTAGGAACACAACCACCAAACACAGTATGGGACGCATACCTCTCACTTGAGGTGGGTCTCATGTGTAGACCGCACCCCATGTGAGATATGTGTCTCATTTGGTATTTGGTGGTTGTGTCCCCCTAATGCAATGAAATTGCTTATTTCTAATCTTCTTAGCTTGTATCATAGAATATGTAATCCCAATTTTTGTTGAATGGTCATTTACATTTACATGAGTTGAATCAAACAAGAGAAAGGGAATGTAAAACTCTAATGAGTATTTCACTCAAAACCATTCTATCATATAACGTACCAAATATAAACGCAAATTAATTACAACCTCTGTTATTAGAATCGTGCGATTTGCGATTTGAATTGTACGATTCAATATGGTGCACTTTGAAAACAATATGAACAGGTATGGTGAATTGAATATGGCAAAGAATCGAACTTGAATCGATGAATCGGTTGCCGAATCACATGAATCGAAGAATCGTTTGATTCATTTCTTCTCCAATGGTCGTGGGTTGACCCCGTTTTGCAGTCAGACCCGACTTGCAAAACTCGATTTTTGGCTCATTTTTTTCGGTTTTTTTTTTCCTTCTACTTGATTGGTCCTTTTAGGGCCTTACGACTCAGTTTATGCCTCCACTTTGTCTTTTTCTAAGCCTCTTTACTCTCTAACGACAAAACCTTAGACCTCTACTCTCCGTATATACAGTGCTTGCTTAGCTTTTTGTCTTCTCTTACTTTATTCCTATCTTGCGCACTCAGGGAGGAATTTTCTAGCATTAACATACTTCATTAAAGGAGTATAGAGGTTTGGCTTTGACTCTTTGACCTGTATATGCTCACTGCTCTTTCACAATTGTTTGGTGAGTTTTCTATTATTTTAGTGTACTCTCAGTGCTGAGTTTGCTTTACAGTGTTTGGAGTTTGGGTTTGTTGCTTTGCTTTGATTTCTTTTTTTATTAAACATGGTTGATAAAAAAAAGATATATATATATATATATAAAGTTATATATATTTATAATATATCTTTAATATCTGAAGATATATATTTATTTTTATGCATTAAAAAAAAATGACCGAATCTTTGCGATGCACGATTCGATTCAATTCACAATTCAAAAACAGACGATTTCAATTCACGATTCGATTCATGATTTGACAACTATGTTTGCAACACATATTAACTGTTCCTCTATATAAACATCAAGAGTATCAAATTATGAATAGAAGTGTAAAATTTATGAATTTGAGACTGGCCCAGTAGCCAATAGGGTATTTGTCAGAATAAATTAAACAGAAAAACATAAATACAATCCACCTACTTGTTTCGACAAGCTTGGATTTTTTGTTCTTGTTCTTTTTCTTTATGAGTAGTGCTTTTGCTAATCCATCACCTTCTATTATCTTCAAGCTTTTCTACGAGTTCTCTGTTCCCGTCTCTCTTTCTGAGTTTCTCTCTTTTTCGGCTTCTGATTGAGTGATGCGATTGAGAATGTCTAGAGAGAGAGAGAGAGAGAGAGAGAGTGAGCAGACGAAATAGAGAGAAGACAAGTTTAAGCCCTAGGACACCATTTTAATTAGGGGTGCAACTTAGGCGGGCTCAACCCGAGCAACCCGAATCCAATCCGAATTTTTTTAGGGCTTAGACAAGATATTTTCAAATTTAGTATTGGCTTAGGCAAAAATTCAGAAGCTTCAATTAAATTTGGGTGGGCTTGAGTAAAGACATCATACAACCCAAGCAACTCGACGAAACCCGAAACTCGAATTATACATATATAGATATATATGTATATATTAAATATACATATAAATTATTAGCCATTACATGATATTAAAGTAATTTAGATTATTGAGGATTTTGACCAAATTAATAAATGCTGAGTTTTTTTTTTTTAATAAAAAAATTTAGAAAATTCAGATTGAGATATTGAAGCTCCCACAAGCCTTGGGGTTAAAAATCCCCTTTTGCTTAATATATAGTAAGTATAGATATAGATCAATAGATGTAGATATAGATATAGATAATATAATATAGATAGATAGATAGACGTGTTGAAATTTTTAAGGAATTTTGTTTATGTTGGTCTTTCA